CCTCCCGCAAGCAGCGCAACTGAGCGTATGCGTAATTTGGCTAAGCGGAATGGACAAGTCAGCCTGTGCCCCTAATGCCACGCCCCTTGTCTATGCGCCGCACACCCCTAGCATACGCAGCATACACACATAGATACGCGTACGTATAGATATTTGGGCATCAAGCATTCTTGGGCCGAAGCTGGTACAAAATATACACCCATAAACGTATATATAAATTTATGCCCGTTTGTTTGCAGTCGAAATTATTTCATTTGTTTGTGTTTATTACGACCAAATCTCGTCCGATGTCGGCCCACGTTTAAAGGAAACATCGTTCGCTTTCCAAAGCGTTTACTTTTAATGGTTCGACTGTTTTTTCTGGGGGATTTTCCACATCTTAACTTCGGCCGAGACCTACAAATATTTGATGCTCCAGAGCGCCAGTTGTTTCGGGTTTTATTGATTGGCGGTGGCGTGGCTGGTTTATGGGGCATCCTTCCTGCCGCCTCCCATTTTCAGGAGCTCCCCGTTGATTGCTGCTCTTGTTTTTGCGTGGCTGTCAAGCGTGAATGTTGCGCTACATTGAAAGGGATTTCTCGGCATTTAAATAGGCTTCCCCTTTCACTGGCGTAGGCATGGTATTTGTCAGGAGCTGCGATTAGATCTTAAAAAATTGTGTTAATTTGGACATTTGGACTAATTGATCAGCGAGTTGTGTAAAATTTAAAGCAATTAGTTTGCAACGAACAGTATTGAGAGCAATTACAATAATCAAGAATTTGGTGGACATCTCAACTTAAATTTAAGGCTTTAATTTTTAATTTATTCGAGTAAAACCACCCTAGTGCAGATTGATTAATTGAGTTTTAATTTTTTTTTTTAATAGAGCAAAAAAAGCTTGGTAAAAAGTATACTATTAAAAAGAACACTGCTTGTCCTTATATTAACTTATTTTCAGCTTCAAGAGTTACTTTTTAATACAATCCCTGAACAAATCAAAAGGTATTGTTTATGTTTAAGATAATGTAAAAATATTCAGAAGGGTGACATCTCCTTTCTCCCAGCATCCTCCAACTACATCACAGTACTTTTCTCACTCTCTCCCACTTTCTCCGGTAGATGCTTCGACTATGAGCAACTAATTTCCTTAGATGAGGCAACCGCAAATGGAAGAGCATCCTGTTGCACATGCATTAACCATGGCATTCACAATATTATGCAAACTTACACACACATTCGCTACTGCGCCACATATATATATACATACATCCAGGCACAAGGAGCTCATCAAGTCTTCCGGTTTGTCGGGGATGTTCACATTGTTTATGCTCCGGAATAAATGAATATAAAGCATTTAGTTTACAGCTGCCATTTGACAAGCACTCGCCCCAGTTTTGATCGAGTGGGTTGGTGGGGGATGAACAAATGGTGTGGGGGTGTGTCGTTTGCATTTTCTTTTAATAAAATATATGAATTATGCAGAATACTTGATGCTAACCAGCGACAGTTGTAGATAAAGACGAGTGGCTCCGATATGCTTTCTTAACTTTCCCTAAAACCACTTGACATTGACACACAGAAATAAAATGTGCAATGTGCGGGAATGCAGTAAATCATTACTATTTAAAATGTGTTTCAGGAGTAGGTTTAAACTGTAATAGAAATAACAACTTAAAAGTAAACGTGCTTATGTTGTAATTGTGTATTACAGAAACAAAGGGATATAAAAGTAGGCAACAAAATAGTTTATTAATATTATTTATTAGCAGGTGGAAAATAAATATAAAAAAAAAAAAATTATTTTCAATTACATATTAATTTGTATATTCTCTGCTTTGAAAGGAATTCTGGCAAAAACATCGTAGTTTTTAAATTGACACATTTTTAACTTAGGTTTTAAAATTGAATAATTGGGACTATAAATTTGTTTACCAATTTTATTTATTGTCAGTGCCTCCTGTAAAAACTTAGCCAGGCGGACGAAAAGTTTTTCGACTTTTCCACCTGCTCCACAAGCAAAAAGTCTTGACGATTTTCCAATGCCAACGCGGTATTTGCAATTCAGCTCGTGAACTTACTGATTTGTGTGCCTCAAAAAAGGTGGCGGGACTTGCGTGATGAGTCAAGTCCCGACTTTCCCATTCGATTTCCACAAATGCAAAGTCACGGCCAGGTCAAGGCCGGAGGTGAGCTTCTGAAAAGGGTTTTTCTGGGTGGGGAGGAAATAAATTTGCAATTGATAGCCTGGACTGGCTCGTAATCAGTTTAAAAGGGCTGAATCTCAATTCGGCAATTGAGTGTGGCTGGCAGTGGCTCGACGTTCACACCCATAATCCAATCGTTTGAAGCGCTTTTATGGATTCGGCATGTCAAATCGCGTGCAAATTTGTTTGAATTGGTTTTCCCCATACTCCTTCCTTTTCCTCGTCCGACACTCAAAATAAAAATCCGATTTGCAACACATTTTTAAAATAATTAGACAAGAAAATGCCATAAAATATTAAACCCACAAATCTTTAGTCGGGTTGGTATGGTCATATCATCGTTTTACTTGTAAATATGAAGTTATTTTATTATTTATAAGAAACATATTTTTCTGTTCTGTTTTCTTTCGTAATTTTATTACATATGTCGAACAATTGGTTTTTGTGTACCACCCCAGTAATCAAATATCAGAACCCTAGGGGTTTGAAGGCTTTACCGTGTCCAAAATAACTTTTTTTGTTTACACTAAAGTGGTAGAATACACGGGGGACCTAAAAAAGGAGACAGCGGCCAATGAAAAAAAACTTATTCAAGTCATGTAATTTCAGAACTTCCTTTGATATCGTACGTTCGTGTTTTGTATGCGTTCGGTGCAAATTGGGTTTTTTTCCAATTTCATTTTATTTACTCGCGGCGACATGTAGCTACCCATATTTATTGCATAATTTTCAGCATAACTCCCACACGCACACACATGCCAGAGCATTGATTGTGCAAATAAAGGAACTCAAAAACTGCCCGATGCTTACATATATAACGTTGTGATTTTTATTCCCAGGGCGATCAGACTGGTATTTTTTTTGGGTTCTCTTATTTCGTTATTAAAATAATGGGTACATCAAACAATCTGGTTAAAATACCGTAAGGGAACAATCATTTATAGTAATACAATTTCTGAAGACTCTTAATTTCAGTTAAATTTAATCAAACGTCAATTATCGTAAGAGCAACGTGAGAAATTTTTAAAAATAATAGAAAAGTTCGATATTACAATATTAGATAATAATTGTCAGGTCAATCCGCATAATGACACTTATGCGCTAGGTAGAAATTCATTGGAAGGAATACCGCTTGTTGACGATCTTGGCCTTCTCTTGGACCTTAAACTTAAATTCTCTCTTCATATTTCGAACATAGTAAATAAAACTAGGGAAGCACTTGGATTTAATAAACGATGATCAAGGAATTTGATAACCCATATGTTACCAAGACTTTATTTATACCACATTACGAAGTGCACGCTGACCAAATAAAATCAGTTCTAAAAATTGTTTGCTTTATGCCTTGCGTCGCCTGAACTGGGATGCAAACCTGTGTTTACCCCCCTTTTTTAATAGACTAATTAATTTGATCTTCCTTTCTAACCGCAGAACAATACCTGGTACTGTATTTATTTTTAACCTTATATGTACGTAGTGAAATTGACAGTCCTTACTTGTTGTGTAGTCCAGATTTCTCGGTGACAAGTAGATTAACTAACAATTATGTTCCTTTAGGTTTAAATCATTGTAGGTAGATCTAACTATAACTTGCATGAACCTTTTAAAGTACTTTGTTCGAGCTGATGTTAATATCCCACAAATTATTCTAAAATTCTGCAATTCTGCTTATTGGTAGCAGTCTGTCCGTGCATTTGAAACCCCAGGAAAGGCTATTTGTTTATTTATAACACTTTACAGCTGAGAGCGGAATTTGTTAGCTAACACAACTATATTTGGTTTTGTATTTTTGCAACCTATGGTTATTTCAACATTAATTGTATTCAAAGAAAAACTTTCTCTTGACGGTTGAATCTTGAACGTCTTCAGCTATTTGATTTAAGCCGATTTACCAAATAATTTATACCTAATTAATCGATTATATAAACGACCAGGTTTACTACTTCAAATTATAAGGTGTAGTGTTGACTAAAACAGAGATTGTCAGTCATTATACCCCTGCAGAGAAAAGGGTATTATAATAACAACTTTACCAAAAGTTGTGCAGTTATTGCACGCAGTGTATAAGTCGGAACGGGCGGGATCGGGCGACTATATCACTCCATTGTTTTTCATCATATCGACTTGATTTCTTCCAGATGGTAGTTTTTAACTACCAGAATTTCGGATTCAATTTTCATCAAAATCGGATAACTGTACAATATAGCTGCCATAGGAAAGATTGAAAAAAATATATATAAATTATGGCAAAAAATTATAATGTCGTTAATTTTTATTCCACAAGCATGACTTGAATCGAGAAAAAAATTTCATATAAATCAGACAACTATATCATATACATACATAGCTGCCACAGGAAAAACATCGTTGTTTTTCATCAGACATGCATCATTTTCTGAATATATTATGTCTCTCGAATTTTGAATTAAATGTCATTAAGATCGGACGACTATATCATATAGCTGCCATATGAACAATCGTCGAAAACATATATATAAAATATTTTTTCATAGCAACAATATAGTCGCCGATCTTAACAAAACAAAAGTTGTTAGCCTTTTTAATGTTGGGATACATTTGTGTAATTGCAAAACCCCCTTGTGTTTGCTAGTTAAAATTACTTTTTGTTTATTGTTTAAAAGATATGTATAGTTATATATTAACAAAGAGATACGAAAACTAGCCGGCTTACCTGATTATACTCAGTAAAATGTCAATAAATTTTATTTCCGTAATTATTTATTGATATCATAATCACAAAGCAAATTACAATTTTACATAAAAACGTAATTATTTGAAATTTATATATGTATATACATATTTTTAATTAAACTTAACTTTATTTATGATCGAAAGAAGTTAAAGTATTAACATTTAGTTCTTATATGTATCTGCTATGAGCTAGAGTTACAAAATAGGACTGTGGGATTATATTTGCGTATTATACAGTATGTTAAGAAAAATAAAATATCTATTTGGGTGTATTGCATCAACGAGCCTGAATTCTGATTTCGTGAGCGTCTTCCTCTTCGGGTACCATTTCAACCTTCATACTCTCCGCCAGCATTACGGCGTTCTGATGTAGTTTGGTCTCCTCGTGCTGGCGCATGTGGTGCAGCAGTCGGAAGTCCTTGTGGCAGTAATCACATCGGTACAACTTAATGTCCGTGTGTATTAACTCGTGCTTGGTCAGCGAGTGTGCGTAGGCAAATGCTTTGTCGCACACCTTGCACACATAGGGCTTGATGCCGCGGTGAACACTAAAAGTTAATTAAATAAGTTATAAATTAATTTAACTCAAAAATGTATTTTAAAAAAATCAGAAAAGCCTAGATTTGGTTCTTCCTACAGAAGAAATAACTTTTTGACAACTTTTTTTGGTTTTCTGATTTTACGTTAAAGTTGTACTTACTTCTCATGGGACTTCAAGACACTTTCGTAGAAGAATTGCCTGCTGCAGAAGCTGCATTTGTAGGGCTTGCTGCCCGTGTGAGAGTACATGTGCTTTCGCAGCTGTTCGCGGACCTGGAATTTGGCATCGCACAGTCTATAAAGATAAAAATTTTTTTAATAATGGTTGAGAAATATGTTAAATCGGAACATGTAAACAATTTTTGCGTGAAACCTACGTTTTTTGATAATTATTTTAATAATTAATGCTAAATAACTGTGAACCATCTTAAAAATAATTCTTGGCTGACTTTAAAATCATTTTTTTAGGTGGAACACGTTCTGGAACAACGAAGTTATGACACGTAAAATATAATAGGAAACAACGCACGCTGTTTAACCACTTATATTCATATAAACTTTCGATAAGAACCAGCTTTTAAGAATTAATGCCTCGCAATGCTTATGCAAAATTATTTTAATCTTCGATCGGATGGACTTACTCGCACGTGTACTGGCAGATGGCGTCGTGGCGCCTTCGGTGCTCCATCATCCGACCGCGCTTCTCGTAGAAGTTGCCGCAGACATCGCAGATGTAGCCGCCCTTCTCGGTGCCGTCAGAAGTGGTCAGAGAGTTCAAGCCTCGACGAACGCGCCCGCGACGTGCCTTCAAGCTTGCCTTGGCCGCCTCCTCGAGCGCTATTTGCTGCGAGGGCGTCTCTTCGTACTGCTTTTCAGCCTCTAAGACGATCTCTGTTTGGTCCGGGTTCATTTCAATGGTGTAGTTGTCTTCCAGATATTCGATGGTGTCGCCGATGCACTCCTGCTGCTCGCTAGCGTCTACTTCTAGGTACTCCTCCGGCTCCTTTTCCTGCTGGTGGTCTTCTTCCTCTCCAGTGGTAGTCTCCTCCAGGATGTACATCTCCTCGTCACAGTGAGTCTGAGAGCCGTCCTCCTCCTTGATCAGCATATCATCGGACTCGTCCAGAAGGCCCATTTCCCGGCAATAGTCCTCGATCTCGGCCTGCTTTCGTAGCGCTTTCTCGCGGAACTGGTAGGCCATGTTGAGTTCCACCTTGCACGACTTACAGATACCGTCTGGTATCTGTTCCTTGTCGTTCAGCTGTGGTAATGAATGGGTCTTGGTTAGCTACATCGGGTTGGGATTAGGCAGAAACATACCTTGCTGTACGAGACTCCCAATAGTTGGATCAACATCTCGTTTGGCGTCTCCTCGCCTTCCTCGCGGGATTCGTCCAGGCGCTGCAGCCGAGCGCTGGTCTCCAGGCACACCCGGCACGTCTGTGGCGTAAGTTCACCGCGCATCCTTGATAATAGTGCAATTTAATTAAAAGAACCGCTCGTACAGTATTTTAGTGTTAAAATTTGTGTTGCTAAAGTGTTGTGTAAAGCGACTGAAAAAGAGAAACGCAGGCATCGCCATTTTCTTTACCAGGGCTGCACAACGTCAACGCACACGCACAATGGTTCATTTTACTGGTTCCGTGCAGCATGGTGAACGTGACAGAATTTAGACATTTGAGATTTTCTATTTACACTTACACACCATTATGTTAAAAAAAAATCATACATATTCAAAATAAACATTTATGTCAAAGATACTACCTATTCTCCACGCATTAATGTCAAATTAAACCATTTACTTATTATTACATTTTTCGTCTTTCTTAAGACGTTACAATTCTAGGATATTGCCCATTAAAACTCAGTTTTTAAATATTTTTTATTACACTATAAGTATTACTTTTAAATTGTTCCGGTTAAACCTATTTCGGATTCTCAAAAACCGTATATGATCCAAAAAAAAAAAAATAATTTCTTTCAAGCCAGTCAAAAACTAGTTCATTGCTCTGATCCGAAGCGATAACGATAACAACAAGGTTAAACTTATATTTCAGGCTCATGCTAAATTGATGCAATTTGATTTTGACTTAATAAATTAGTTACATAACAACAATTTAGATATAAATATATATTTATTTATACCGATTGCGATTACAACACCGTGTTTACATCCGTAAGCCTTGGCAGAAATAGCCCGTTTTCCATTGTGACGATCTGGCAACGCAGCGTATTTTTCGAGACGCAGAACGCAAGATATTTCTTATCTCTCTTGTAAAAAAAATGGATTATTTCATTCCGATCGGTGCGTATCTTATTGGAAAATCGCATGCTTGTTGGCAGTAGAGAGCGATACACACTTTTCACGGCCCACATACCGCGCCCTTCGCCCGAGGGGAAAATGGGAAAGCAACATTATCTGGCATCCGTATCTTGGTCCGTCGCAGCCGTCGAAATGTTCGTCGCGCCAGTTATTGACTCGGCAATCTCCATCTACTAAAGCGCACACACACACACGATCGCAGACGAGCATACACACACGCGTAACCTGCCAGCGGAAGCGCCCTTAATCTTGGCTAGAAAGCACAACAACAACAGCAGTAGCAGCAGAGGAGCAACAACAGCAGGCGGAGGGAAACGGAGGCGCCGCTAGCACTAGCACCTAACATGTCCGAGAAGCACGGCCAGCTGGGTGCGCAGTGGACGAAATCAGCGGCGCCAACAGCATCACCACAAACCTCAAACACCATCCCCGTACCTCTTCCAATTCCCGTAGCGCTTCCCCAGAAACTCAATGTCAGTCCATATGGCAACTGCAGCTTGCAGCCTGCTGATATAGTCTACAACGCAACCCGATTTCAAGGCCCAGTTACCCATGCCAAGGCCTCACCCTTGACCATTACGCCCGTGGGCCCTGCCGGAGGAGCTCCTGCTTCCGCCCAGATCTCGCCCACGAGCCACACCCATGTACCTGTACCTGTGGCCACGCCCAGCGGATTTGTGCCGCCTCCGTTTCCCAATCCCGCCGGAGTGAGTGGCAGTGTCTCAACCTCAGTGCTCACTCCGAATCCCTTTGCCACGGCAGCTGGAAATGCTGCCGGACTGGCCTTCGCAAATGCCTTCACCTACAACACGACCCAGCTGGGCCTGGGCAAGATCATGCACGCAATGGGCGGAACAACAGGAGGAGTGGCAGCGGTGTCAGTACCAGTTAGCACAACTCCAGCAGCAAGTGCTCCTTCAGGCCCAGCCATAACTGGGCCAAGGCATACCAATGAGTGCGTCCCAGCGACCAGTGGAGTGATCAACTCCACTATTGCTGAAAATGTGATGAATGCTTTGAGCAACTCGAACACAGCAGGAGCTGCAGTGCCTAGTGAAGAGAAGATGCGGAGGGTGCAGCAGGTGATTGAGGCAAGCTTGGAGTGAGTGTTAATAAATACTGTTTGCTGTTGTCCCCTGCTAATCTCAGCTCATCTGGATTTTTATTTTCAGCGACAATGCCAAGCTGCAGATCTCGCAGATCCTGGAGCGCGTCTCGGGATTGAAGCCCATTGAGAAGCTATTCCTCTATCTTCGCTTGCCTGGCGAGTGTGCGGACACGGATCCGCTGAGGCAGCCACAGAATCCGTTAGGAACGCGTTCGGAGATTAATCACACTATCAATTGGGTCCGTTCCCACCTGGAGCACGATGCACAGGTGTCCATACCCAAGCAGGATGTGTACAACGACTACATGTGAGTATTCTTCATTATTATTATTTTAAAAGTCGTGTGTATATGTATTTGGCATTGTCAAAAATCTTAGCGTTATATAATTTGTAAACTTGCAGGGGTTGTGAATATTTAAAAAAAAAACTCTTAACAATTTATCAAAATTCAACAAGCAAAATAGCAAAATTTTTGGCTTTAGAAAGTAATACGAATTCAGTTGTGTGTGCACCTGCCACGTAAAAAATACTCTATATCACAATTTAATAGATAAAAATAAACACAAATAAATTGAACATGAGTAACTTCTTTTGTATCAACCGCAATGTAACTTTATGTTTTTTTTTTACGCAGAGCGTACTGCGAACGCCTCAGCATCAAACCACTTTCCACGGCTGATTTCGGCAAGGTGATGAAACAGGTCTTTCCAGGCGTGCGTCCTCGGAGACTAGGAACGCGAGGCAACTCTCGCTACTGTTATGCGGCCATGCGGAAGACCACCAAGTTGACTCCCCCACAACTACCGCAGCTGTGCAAGAGCGAACAGGTGTTAGGAGCAAATTCCCCTTCAGACTCAAGTCAACTAACTAACGCCTCCAGTTTGAGTGGATTACCATCGACAGGAGGCGATTCGGAATGCTGGGACGTAGTACGCAGCTGGGCGGAAAAGTTGCTAAACACAAAACTAGAAAGCGTTGCAGATCTGACCTCCCGCATCAAGAGCAACAATGCCGTAGTTTCGACCAAGAAGTACACACCTCGGGAACCTAAGGAAAAGAGGGTCTTAGCAGTAAGTTTAAGATATTTCCTTATCAAGAGTCTTCTAATAGCTTTCACCTCTAGGACATTGGCCCTCTGAAGAAGCGACGCAAAAAGAAACGCAAGGGCTCGACATCCTCGGAATCCAGCTGCAACCAGTTAGTTACTGGTCAGGATGCAGGCAGTAGCCAGGAGGCCAGCGAAGAACAATTACTGAAGATCAAGCAAGAGATCATAGACTCACCTATTCAGCACCAGCAGCCGGGTGTGGCATACCTGCAGCAAGTGACTCCCATGAACTTGGCTACAGATCAGCGAAGCAGCAGCGCTGTGCGTAACCTCACGCCTAAAATCTTGGAAATGGGCTCGCCGGCCGTAGTGCTTACTCAGCAGGAGGCCTCACCCACGGGCATGGTCATCAAGGATGAGGTCGAGGACTACACCTCTAACATATTCTGCAAGAAGGTGTTGAAGGCTCAGCAGACAAAAGGATTTTGGGCCAATTCTCCCAGCAGCGGAACAACGGGGAGTGTTGGTCTACTTGTCCCTCCAACGATCACCACCACCTCGGCCACGCCACCACCGCCTAACGCTGGTAGTTCCCCGGTTCCCGGACCAGGCCTTTCCATGGGCCCGCCGGCGCAAATGATGAACGCCAGTTCGGTCAGCCCGTCGAGCAGTGTGGACACCACGCCCAAGGTGGCGTCCCGAAACCAAATGATACTGAGAGGCAAGCGTTTAATGGCAGCGGAAAATGCCGCCTTAGCAGCCGAAGACTCCGGCCTGCCCGAGAATCTGGGATTGCCCAGAGAGCGAGTGATCAGCATCTGCAATATGGACAAACACGAGCTGGATGACTACTTCTTGCCTGGCGAGGACGAGGAGAACTCCGAGGAGCCCGACAACGAGCTGCTCCAATATTTTCAGATGGGAGACGCTGAGGAAAACAAACTGAATTCCTTGGATGCTGCCGAACAGAACAGGAATCCACAAGAGCCAACGACGATGGGCTCTGCGCCGGAGGCAATGCCCGCTCCCGGCCGCGGAGTAGTAGCCGTCGTCGCCGCAGCAGCAACAGCAGCGCCGGTGCCGGCGCCATCGATGCTGCCCGGACAGGCCGGAGTGGGTTCTGCCTCAGCGTCTCTGGCCCTAATGTCAAAAAAGCATCAACAGCAGCACCAACTTCAGAACCTGCAGCAGCCATCGCACCGTTCAAAGCAGCTGCCCAATATCAGCAACAACAAGAGAAAGATCAGCCTGAGCAATGCCTCCAGCAGTGGTAGCAACAAAAATTGCCATTTCCTGCCTATTTCACCAAATATCAATGGGTCCAATGGATCGGTGGCAGCCACAGTCGTCTCAGGACCGGCCAATCCCAATCAAAATTGCTTCGCTAGCCCGGGCTTAACCAGGATGAGGCACAAGCCCAACTTGTTTTGCAAGCAGCAATCTTTAGACTGCGACAACCGAGACCCCATGATTGGGGCTCACCGCAAGGGCCGCGGCTATGTGTACAGCTATCCCACGAGCACGTCTGCTTCCGCTCCTCCGAGTCCTTCGCTTTACCAGCACTGGACGGGTGGAAACTGGCCATTGGGTGGCGGTACTACCTCCAGCTTTGCGGACAGTAGCCACAGCGCCGATCCCCTGGTGAATCAGAACTCAATGGATTTGGAGACGAGCCTCGCGCTCACGGAAGGAAGTGAATTAGATACGTCGGAAATGCAGCGCTCACAATCGGTGCCGTTGTCTCAATTGCAACGAAGAAGCAGCCAACAGTCACCCAATTCACATTTCTACTCCGAAAACAGCAACAGTCAGCAGTCGGCGCCACTCAAAGACACGGGATTGCTATACGAGGAGGTGGATGTGTCCGCTCTGATCTCGCCCAATTTCAACAGCAAGTTTAGCAGCATGACGCAACAGACGGCCACCACGTGCAGCTCCTCGGCAGGCTCATCCTCCGGCTACAGCAGCGGCGGCTCTGCTGGAATAGTTTCGCGATCAGTGCCATCCACTCCGCTGCCACACCAACAGCATAGCAGTCTGACTTCATTAAATGGCGGAGGGGGAGCTACAATCAGCGGAGGTGGTGTTATGGGAATCGGAAACGCAGGCAGCTGTGGAAACGGTTTTTTTAACATCTCGGACACGTTGAGCTGGGAAAGAGGTACGAGCAATGGAAGCCAACTGGGCTATGACGCACACTCTTATGGTGCGCGCAACCCGCTAGACATATCCAAGTCCATGCCAACGACGCCGATTGCAACGCAACGATTTCGCTACAGTCCTGCGGAGGTGCACCGAGATTTCTTGATCAACGGCAACACCATCGATAGCCTACCTTCGTCCGCCTTTGGAGCGGGAGTAGTTTCCACGGATCCTGCGTTGACTCTAAGCACGGACACCCTAATCGACGACAGTGCGCCGAGCAGCGCCGATGATGTAGAGGCAATGATCGGTGTCACAGGCATACTCGACGACTTTTAGAATTTGCATGAAGAGAAAGCTCAGGAGGAGATGAAAGTACCCGAGCGAAAGGAGGCGGATGAGGAGGAGAAGGATGTTGCTGAGACAACTGCAAGGGAGGACGCAAATGTCGTGGCCTGTCTCCTGCAGCATGTCGACCAGTTGTAAGCCTCCTGGCATCCGTCCCCGGTGGTGTTTGTCTCGTATTTTTGTGTTGTTTGTTTACTCCTCTACTGTTGTTCCTCTTCGAGATTCTGTATAGGTCAGAAATAGGAACCTGTAACCCTCCTCCGCAAATGAGCTTTCTCTTCGTGCCACTCACAACTAAGTAAAATCCAACGAAATCCTTTCTTCCCCTATCTTAACTCAACTAATCTTACCTAATCAACAGCTTAACTGTGCCTCTAATTGGTTTCAAGATGTGTCCAACAGCATTAGAGGTTTGCGCTTGAGCCGACTTCTGTAATTTAACGTTACCCTCAGGCCCTCGTTGTATGTATGCGATTGGCATATTGTTATGATCACTAAACATTAACATTAACACACTGACGACGATGGTGGGCACGACGATTGCCCTTACTGTGTGTAGTTGCATAGTTTTATTGTTGAACAACATTACAAATGAAGCGAACTTAAAGTCTGAATGAAGGAAACGTGTGCAGCGGTTTTAAAAACGAAAACAAATTTACAATTGTAACTGTAAAGGAATGTAAATTTAGAACTAAAGAACTAAACCTCGGCACTCGTCGAGTTTGTCTTCCTGCGACCCCCGGTTGTACATATACAATGACATATACATACATATATTTATAGAGGGATTTCCAATCGGACTTTTTAGGGGGTCGCAGCGAACCAGTTTCAGTTCGAAATTGTCAAACATACTTGCGTGTTTGTATGGTGTTGTAAGGTATCGAGAATAACGAGCTTCGTCAATTGTTCACCCATTCTATGGCCTCCTGGATGTAGTCCTTCGATTTTACTAACCCAATACCAGTCTATTTGTTACGCTCTATTTGTCTATCCTTAACGCTTCTGATTTTCTATTAGTTTTAAGTGTTTGATTGTTATACCTGTTTATTATTTTTATTTAGTTCACGCTTGGTCGGTCCGATCTGCGTTTAGTACTTTAGCTGGATTTTGTACTACGTCTGCAATTCATGTTTTCCACGCCTGAATTTCTAGTTGTAGTGTCGTTTCTTGTACCCAGTTTATTAGAGACTTTAATTCTGTTTTATCGCTTTGAACAAAGTTTAGCTTTAAACATCTCTTATTAATTAATTCACATTGCAAATGAATGTTAGTTTGTTTGTAAAACAAAGTAAAAAACACAGAAACCCAAACCTGTTTTTGTTCTAAATGAAAGTGACTCCGCTCCTGTAAGCAGAACATGTTTTAAAAATATTAAGAAACTAAATCATAAATGTGCCTCAGGCTTTATTGTAAAACAATTAAATACCACAACAAAAAATATTCATACAAACATACAAAATAAAAAACGAAAGTAAAAGTTAGCTACGTATACACACATAAATAGATTAATAGAACGTTATACGAAAATAATTAAATATACACTCATTTACAAAACAAAGGCTAGGGAATCAAATGAATTTGTTAGAACCTCAGATTCAACAAGTAGTTTATTATAGTCAACATGAAAATAATACAATAACCAAACTGTACCCATAGCCTAAAGAAAACATTGTCATCTAATTTTCTTAAACAAAAAACGAAATTTTACCAACTATTTACTTTTAAGCAGCGCCACTTACCACGCAATTCGCTTTCAACAACAACCAACAATATACGAGTAAAAATAGCAATAGCCCTAAGTATGGTAAATAAATTAAACATATTGTCACCGGGAACACTTTAGATGAGATATATGCAATTATACAGAAACAATGCATTAAAGTTAAACGAACCAAAACTGTACTTTTTTATAAGATATTTGAATGACATAAAATACAGATAACAGAAACGAAAAATTTACTGGTTTTGAGATATTGTTCATTGGTGCTTAGGGATGTTGGAACCATTTCTTATCTTTTACTTCTTCGCCGACAGAAAATTTGCATTCTCATTCAGCTTATCGACTTATGGACACATTTTTTTGATAACCGACTGACTGTTCCTGTATTCAAACTTAATTCGCGACCAATTCAAAACTGAAAATAAAGAGATTGCTGACCGATTTACAAACTTTATTCAAATTTAATTTTAAATTTCCATCGTTAGCGCTGATTGTTCCTACGCAAGCTAGTCCTCAGTAAGCAGTAACGCTAAAGACTTTAAAAAGGCTTCTAGCTATTGCCGGTAGTATATGGTACACATATGTATGGATGTCGGGGCTGCAGAGATCGTATCGCTATATCATGTAGCAGCCATAGAAAAGACTTTCTTGTTTTAAATTGGATTTTGAAGCAAACTGCGATTATTTTATCTTTAAAACGATCATTATAATAGTATGTATTTTATAGAGATTGCTGAAATTATTTTACGTGCACCGCAATTCTAGCCCATAATGAATGTACTCCAAAAATTACTTTAATTATATTTTAATATTTTTTATTAATCGTTTAGGTTTAAAATAATAATATGCAATTAATATTTGATAAATATACATAATAATACCTTTAATTTAAATATGCGTGTGTGCTCTTTAAATGTTTTCTCCGTTCTCATTTGCCCGAAACTTTTTCTTTTACGTTCTTCGTTTATTGTTTTATGAATTTTACATGTAAATTTAACTATTAATAATATTTTATTTTATATGCATCTTACATGTCATTTTTGTTAATAGCGCCAAAATAATATTCCATTTGCTATAACTCTTCTTCATTATGCCACATTCGTGTCCGATTTAGCCCGGACTCAGTAATATTTTACGTATAAAAATCATTTCGCTTCATGATGTACTTGTTTCCTTATATAGTTTTTATTTCTTTACTCATTAATTAATCGTATATTACACTACACTAATAGCACATTTGAAATTCCCTTTATTCATATAAGTTTTATAGTTCTTTATGTTTTGCTAAATATTTGTTGTTTATGCTGGTTTATTAAATGCTTGTAAATCATTTACTTCTTTGTTTACTTTTCAATTGGTTTCCTGATATTTTTTACCTCCCGCATTGCTCGCTCGTATATAATATATAAGTATATATGTATATATTTTGTATATGCCTGCTATAATATAATATAATTTATAAAATTGTTGTTTATCTCGCTGAGGTGGAAAATTCATTAATTTATAAGGTTACTTGTTGTTTTGCCTTTTTTGCTGCTGTTGCGGTTGCGAATGCATGTTGCTTGTATACGTTATCTAGTTTCCTCTACTTCAGTTTAGATTTATTGTTTTGCGATTAATCTGTTAAAGTATTTGTATATCGTCTGCTTGCTATTTGAGCACCCCAGTTGACCAAATACTTAAAGCCTATATGCGAGCGGAAATGTTTAAAATGAGAATCAAATAAAACGCCGCTATAAAAATTTAGAAACTAAACAGTGAATCGCTTGTGCCATACTTGAATATATTTTCTATGTCGTAAACGTGCTGCTCAAATATTAAATTATTGTTGTCACGTCTGCTAGAGCATTTAAAATTTTTGCCATACAGATTTTTTTTAGTTTTCCCTTTGCATCGGATTTTTGGAAGCAACTTTCTTTACAATCCATCTTCGTCGTCTTTGAAACAGGAACGGGTAAGGAATTTGAGGGTTGGTCCCAATTCAACGTGCCGAAACTGTAACAGCGAATTAAGCAATTCAATTTTTACATAAACAAAATAAGAAAGAATCGGTGTAATTAATGTAGAAATTTATTTAAAAATAATAAAGACAAAACACACTCAGCTTATGGGAAAACTAAACAGTAAATCAAATTAAATACATAATCATAAAGATTGGTACAGTAACATTGTTCATCAGCAGTTGGGTTCATTCGGGTTAAACCTTATAAACAAATACGAAAACGAGCCTAGTCTAGTTAAAATTATTAATAAAATAAAAACACAATGGTGACAGGAGAGCTGGTAAAAAGCAATAATCAAATAAAACAAGGCAATTTAAAATCTGGGCTATACAATAAGTTATCTATGCATACACAATTCGTTTAGTTAAAATTACAAAAAATCTTCATTAAATACAGTATAATTCATTCGCAGGATCCGTCCTAATCCATCGTGATCCATTTACAAATAATCTGGCTAAAAAGCAGCAAAGTATTGCATACTTTTCTGGTTTCTGGTTATCTCTCCGCTCCATTCAGCAAATTGAACTAAATTAGTTTACTAAATTAATTACTCGTTGTGGTGGTTGAGTTGTTGTTCATGTTCATGTTGTTATTGGGGGGCAGCAGCTCGCCGGTTTGGCTGCGACTGTCCATCGACCAGTCCCAGTCCTTGCCCTTTGGCCGGAATTTGGATGATTTGTGGTGGTGCTGCTGCTGGTGGTTGTAGCTGCTGTGGTGCGGTGAAGACTTCTCCTTTGGCGACTTTCCAGATTTACCGATCAGCGGTGCAGCTGCTGCTCCCACGTTATTGGGCGCTTCCAGGTTGGGCGGCCCATTGCCCGCCGCATCCGCAGCCGTGGGAGGCGCACTAGAGTTGGAGTAGGCCAGCAACTCGTCGCAGTCGTATTCCCAGTTCCTCTCGCAGAACTTCTTCTTGTAGTGCTTCTCCGAGCTGCTCTTCGACTTGCGCTGGTACTTCAGCGGTATGCCAGCCAAGTCCCCGGAGAGAGCAGGCCCACTGGCCAAGGGCGGCGTGGCCACACTGGCTGCACTGGGACTGGGGGTCCTGGGCAACCCAACATCGGACAGCGGCGGCGACTCAATGGCACTGGGATCCACCGGCGACACGGTTTTCAGGGAGCTACCAGCGTGCAGCGAGGAGGATGCCGACGACTTGATGCTACTGTCGCTGAGGTGATCGGACAGGTGGTGCTGCTGCTGTTGGTGCTGGGCCTGCAGCTGTTGCTGCTGCTGCTGCTGCTGGTGGCCGCCGCCTCCTCCGCCGCCCATGTTGTTGTGCTGGGCGTGATGGTTGTACAGGCTGTTGCTGCTGCTGCCACCGCTTCCTATGGGCAGCTCCAGTTGCGAGGAGCTGGACGAGGTGGACAAGAACGTGCGCACCGCATCCGAGTTGCTGCTGCTGTGCGTGATGCCCGAATCCGGCGACGTGTTGCAACTGATCGAAGCAGGAACCGTGTCGCCGTCGATGCTTCGCCTGGTTTTATCCAACTCAGTGCTGGCGAAGGCTACCAGGCGATCGAAACCAGAGCTGACCCGATGTTGCCAGTGGGACTCATCATCGGCGGCGATAACATCATCTGTGGAAAACGATTTGAACTCGTTAGTTGAAAGTCTTCAAAGCGTAAGACAATGGTGCTAATTTTTTTTAATTGGTTTGGGTGAGCTGGTGAGATTCGGTGGAGTTTTGGGAAGAGTCAGTGGGGAAGGGTGATAACGAAAACACTGGCGATATCGCGAAGTGTCCTAAGCTTTTCCATATTTTATATATCTTCTTGGTACAGTTGCGTTGCGCTTTGCGTGCAGGGGAATATGTTTTCGTGTTCATTTGTGTTTACGGATGTTTTTATGTGTTTTTGGTGTGGTAAATGTTGAAACAAAGGTTTTACGTAATGAAAGTAAAATAAATAAATCATAAGGAAATCATAATTAAAAAAGAAAGAAACCAATTAGGCGCAACAGAACTTACCTCATGCTCGTTAAAATTTCATTAATTTTGTTCGGGATTTTTTTTTGTTTAATTTGGTTTTTGGCATATAAGTTCTGTACTTTTAGTAGGTAAAATATTAAACTCAAAAATTAAAAGTTGTCTTTTGTAGGTTTCTGATTTGAAATCATTGTTTTTCATCAGGTTTTTTGTACTTTGCTTATTATTAACGGTTATTAGAAGTTTTCTTTCGCCCAACAACAAACAAGTTTTCGGTTTTGCTTTTCGTTTGGTTTGGTTTGGTTTGGTTTGGTTTGTTTGAGGAATTTTGAGGTATGCAAGTCAATCAATTCAATTCAATTCAATTCAATTCAATTCAGTTCAATGCAAGTCAATTCAATGCAATCGATCATTGGTTATTGGGGTACTGTGGGGCAACTACTACTACTATCGGCCAGAACATATCCGTTCAGATTCTGATTACTATGGGCAGCTGATAGTTTCGTTGGGGCAGACAAAGTCGTGCGAAGGCGACGTCTGGGATCGTAATTAGTTATAGTACGTTGCGTTGCCAAATCGTTAACTGTATGGAGTAGAGCATAATAGAAGGGATAATAAAGAAGGCTGGATAAGATGGGGCATAATTTTTGTTGGGTTTTTGGGTTGTTGGTTGTTTTTGGTTCTTAGCATTACCAATTTGCATTTGCAGTTTTTATTTTTTTTTCGAATTTTAGTAAATTGAAAATTAATTATGCATTATAATAACATTCCAGAAAGTTGCTTACTTTTTGTTTTGGTTAATTTTGAAATAAATGTTTGCTTATGGGGGTGTGTGTGTTGTATATTTATGTATAGTTTTTACAAAGAGCTTATTAGCTTTATGTGTGTGTTGTGGATGGCTCTGGATAACATATTATATATGCAGTAGATAAGATGATTGATTTGGCATGACGCGAAGAATAAAAGAGGAGCTAAATTACTTTCAGCATGTTGGATGTTGTTGGCTGTGCTTTTGTAGTCAACTATTTTTCAATATGATAAAATAATGTTGGTTGGGGGACCAACAAACAAAAACCCCCACTTAATCCTGGGAAATAAAAAATGGGTTTACATTTTCCCTACAGTAAACATAAAAACTGTACAATGTCTCCCGCTTTTGCTTTCAGTTATTATTTTCGTTTAATTATTTAATATTCGCCGTTAGTTTTCTCCAAAGTTTACAACGTGGATGTCGGAAATAAAAATACAAAAAGCTTTCAAAAATCATAACAAAATAAAAAATACAAGCTACTAAACAGATTATAGAAACAATTACAGTGAGGACTACGGAGTGCGACAGACAAAAACCAAGCAACGAAGATACACGCAACATTTAAAATAAATTGAGAAGATAAAAATAATGATAATTCGATATGCATGTTGTATTTACAATAGATAAAATGAATAAGTGTAGGTATAAATGTTATGAGTGCAGTGTTTAAAAGACATCAGCCAGAGTCAGAGTCCGAATTGGAATTGGATTCTGATTCTGAGCCGGAGCCGGAGCTGGAGCTGGAGCTGGAGGAGCTGGAATCGGAGGATGAGGAATCGCTATCGGAACCTCCGTTCTCGGCTACCAACTCCGCCTCCTCCGGCTCAGATTCGGAATCCACTTCCCGTGGCGGATCTGCTCGCTTCATGGTTAGGTCTTCCGCCACCGTTTGGGCGGCTTGTCGAGTTTGGTATTTGTGCTGGTGAAGATTATGCGGTTTTAGCGGGTGGGCTGTGGGTACGTGTGCTGGTGGTGGTGGTGCTTGCTTTGGTGCATGTTTGGGCTGTGACACCCTGGTCGAGATTGTGGCTTGGTCTACGTAAGGCTTACCATCGTCGGCGGCATTGGCATTGCGTTGTCCGCCCAAAGTGGGCGTGGTGCTGTGGCTATGACCTAGACCGTGTCCCAAGTGAGGTACCCGCATCTGCTGCTGCGCCATCTGCATGTGCTGCTGTTGCTGCTGTTGCTGCTGCTGCTGCGACTGATGGTGGTGCAGCAGTGGCTGCTGCTGCGGGTGGTGCGACAGCTGCAGCGGTCGCTCGTCGCCCAGCAGCGAATTGATCTCGGGACTCATCAGCAGCGGTGGCTCCACCAGCAACTTGCCGCTGTTGCTGTTGCTGCGACGTCCGCATGACGACGACGACGAAGAGGGCGTCGGCGAGGGCGTGGTCGCGTCGTGAGCTGGGGGCGGCGGTAGGACCTGCCCGTTGGCGTACAGGTGCGCGTGGTGCGGTGGCTGCTGCTGCTGCGTCGGCGGCGGCGGCTCGTAGTGAGCCAGTTTCGAGGGACGCGGCGCTTGCTGATGCGGCGCCAGCGGGGAGCTCCGTTTTATTCCAACTGCAAGAGAAAGCGGGAATTAAGGAAGGGCCTTTCGTATACAGATAAACCCAAAAAAAATAAAATTGCTTACTCTCCACTTTGTGCGGTGTTCCATTGAGGCCAGCAGCATGGTGATGGTAGCTGTGGGCTGGCGGCGCTTGGTGAGCATAATGGGTGGTCAGCTCCAGTCCAGGAGGCGGCCCTCCCGCCGAAGACGAGGAGGCGGCGGCGGCCGCGCGACGTTGGCGCTCCTCGGTCTCCTCCTTGTACTTCCTGGCACGCACCATGTGGTCCTGCAGTGAAGCAGCGAGACCTAAAAGAAGGATCAAGTAATTTATAGCAAACATGATTTAAAAAATACAGTATTTATTTAAAAAAATATGTTGGAATATATTGGTTCACACTACAATGAATGCTTCTCAGGGTGTCTTGAATTTACCTTCGAGTGGAGGATTGGCTCCATTGAGACGCGGTCCCCGCAAGGTGGCTGCTCCCGCTGGTCCCGTGCTCTTCGACTGCTTCTGCTGCTGCTCCTCGTGGAAGTACGCCTCGATGCTGCCCTTGAGTTCCGCGCGGGGCAGGGCCACCGGTTGGTAATCCCGTCCAGATCGAGCCGCGGCTGCGTGGCTTGCGGGCGGTGCTGTTCCTGCGTTGGCACGTGCGCCCACCTGCGCCTTCTGGACATAGGCAACGTGCGCCAAGGTGGCCAGATTGCTGTTGCCCCCTGCTGCGGCAGCTCCGCCAGCTGGTCCTCGCTCCTGGGCGTAGCTGGTGGGATGTGGCTCCTGCGATTCCTCCGACAGCGGACGCACATGCACTCGCTCCGGCCGCTGGGCGTTCAGGTTGATCAGCAGCCGGTCGCTGGAGCGCTCGTTGAGGAAGGCTCGCTCCATGAAGTTGGCGCCACTGGTGCTCATGTTGACCGCCGCGTTGATGATGCTCTGATGCGAGATCTCCAGGGTTCGCTCAATCTCCCCGTTAACCAGATCCCCGATGGTTTTGCCCGTGGTGGGCGCTCCTCCTTGTCCCGGCAGCGGGGGCGTGGCCTGCGGAGCCACGTGCTGGCTGAGCTTCTCCTGCGAGAGGTGGCGGCGCAGGGCCATCTTGGCGGGCGACACCTGCGTGTAGTCCGGCTGCGAGGAGTTGGAGCTCGGCCTGCTCGGCGGACGGATGCGGTAGCCGCCGTAGTCCGAGTTGGCGGAACTGGCCCGAGGCAGCAGCTCCAGTGGCTGCTGCTGTGGCTCCACCACCAATTGCTCCCGGCTGCTCGAACGCTGGAGATGATTGTCAGCCGGCGGCGCCTTGAACTCATTGGGATGATGCGCATGCGCATGCGGATGTGGATGCTGGTGCTGGTGCGGCACATGCTGCTGCAGACGATGCTGCTGCTGATGGTGTTGCTGTTGTTGCTGCTGCTGGTGATGATGGTGCTGCTGCTGCTGCTGCTGCTGCTGTTGCTCCTCCACCCGCATCTGCTGGCGCTGCGCTGCATGAGCCGCTGCTGCCAACATGAGCTGCTGCTGCTGGAGTTGCTGCTGCTGCTGGACCATGTAGTGCTCGTAGCTGCTGGCGCTGACGGAGCTGCGTCGCCTCTGGTATCCGAGATCCGCGGGAGTCGTCTGCTGGCCAGCTGCATACAGAGCAGCCATGTGGGAGGGAGGTGGCGGAGGTGGAGGCGGCGCTTGTCGCACCGGCGAATACTTCGGCTCCTTGGCAGCCTGATACTTGTTGCTCGATCCCGATCCCGATCCCGAACCCGGACCCTTGCCCACTGCTCCGCCGTAAGCTCCATATGGCAGATTCGCCGGCGGAGGCGGCGCCGTGGAGGCAGTTGCTCCTGCCCCAGGACCCGGCAGCGGCGGAGTGATCGGGGATATTGTCGTGTTGGCGTTCAGATGCATCAGTCCCTGCGTGGACACCGTGATGATGTTGTGCAGATTGCTGGGCAGCGACGGGGCGGCGCTCATCGCTCCAGGTTGCTGCTGCTTCGATCGCTTGGGCGCCGGACTGTGGAGCGGAGAGGGGGATGGCGAGGACTCCACTGCCTTGCTGCGCAGCTCCTGATCCTCGTTCAGCGCCGTGGTGATGATGCTCTTCAGCCGGTCCTCGAAGTTGGCCACCTTGGGCGACTCCTGTTTGCGACTCGACGAGAGTCCCGGCAACTCGCACTTGGGCAGCTGGGAGAGCTGCACCTGTTGCTGCTGCTGCTGCTGCTTCGGCGCCGGCATCAGAGTGCTGTCCTTGTAGTGGTGGCCAGGCGAGGACTTGATGCTCACCGGTGCAGAGGGAGCTGGTGGTGCTGGTGCCTCCAGAATGGCCTTGTTCTTGCCATTCACCTGGTAAGCGGGCGCCGCTGCTCCTTGGAACTTGCCGGCCTCGATTTGGCGGCAGGTCTCCACTATCTTCTGGGCGAGCACCTCGGGATTGCTCTCCTGGATCTTTCCCACCTCGGGAACCTCCGGCCACTCCTGCGAACGAGCGCGGTGCTCGCGACTTCGCCGGGAATTCTTCACGTTGTTCAACTTGTTGTTCGGAACGGTCGCGGAGTTCGCAGTGGTCGTCGAGGAGGAGGAAGTGCTGCTGGATGACGTTCCGGACGAGGCCACAATCAGGTTGGTTCCCTGCGCCAGAAGCGTCGCTGCGGTGGACCGCTCCTCCGCCGTCTTCTGCAGCACCGTGGTCTCCTGCTCGATGGTGGACACCTGGGCGTACAGTTTCTTGCGTTGGCTCAGCGTGTTGGCAATCTCCTTCAGCACCAGCTCCTGGGCGGTGGTCTCCGAGAGTTCGGGTGGCACCTCCAGCTTCACCTTGCCGTTGGCCGTGCCGCAGAGCTTCTGGTACTCAGAGAGGTTCTTCAGCTGCTTGTTGAGCAGCAGCTTCTGCTCGCCCTCGTAGAAGGTGACCTCGTTGCGCATCCTGCTGGCGGTGTGCTGCAGATCCTTGTGCCTGCCCACGATCTCCTTCGCCTGGGCAATCAGGTCGTTGGGCGAATTCACGTGGATGCCCAACTCGTTCATGCGCACCTTCAGCAAGGCCACACTGTCGTCGATCAGCACCTTGATCTGCTTGTCCAGCTGACTGGCGCGGTTCTTCAGCCTGGCCATCCGCTCCTGCTCCTGGGCAATCTGCTTCTGCACCTGCGGCACGTAGGCACTCGACTTCATGTGCTCGATCATCGAGGTGTACTGCGATCGGAACACGTCCAGGAGGATCTGCAGTGCGTAGGGCGTATCCTGCGGCGCCGCTGGGATGTCCAACTCGGTGTGCGACATGTTCTCCGTGAGCAGAGCTGTTAGCTGCTGGTCCACGGTTCCCGGAGCTGCGGGCAGCTTCTTGGTCATGGTGTCCAGCGAGGTACTCAACACCGTTTGCTTGTGCAGCGCTTCCAGACCAACGATCTTCAGGGACTTCCTGCCACGAGCCCCCTTCTTCATGCGACCTTTGCGACCTGGTCCTGCGCTGGCCGCCCTCGGTTGATCCTCCTTCGAGCTGGACTCCTTGCTGGCCACCGCTGCTGCCGCCGCTGCAGCAGCCTCTGCTTCCCTTTGCGCAGCTGCAGCGGATTTGCTGGCTATCGCAGCTTTCCTGGTCAGCTTCTTGCGCTTCTTCTGGGTGGCTGCCCTCGCCTGGCGGCCAACCGCTCCTCCTCCGCCTCCGTTGCTGCCGCCATTGCTGTTCGAGTTGTTGTTCTCCTCGTCGTCCGACTGCGAGCTCTTGCCCTTGGAACTGCACCAGTCTGACCAGACCTTCCTGGTCATCGGACCGTTCGAGGCGGAGGTGGTGTTGGTGGCCGTCGTGGTGTTCCCACCATTGCCGTTCGTCGCCTCGCCATCGCTCTCCGTGCTGCTCTCCATGTCCAGGCTGCGTTGCGGCGCTTGTTGCGGATGCTGTTGCGGATGAGGCTGCTGCTGCAGCTGCTGGCGCGTTTTCGAGGCAGCTGGTTGCCCGGTGACAACTGCTATTCCCCCACCGCTGACATTGGCCGGCGACTGCGACTGATGGCGCTGCTGATGGGCAACGTTCGCGGACGCTCCGTTCGACTGTTCCCGCTCCCGCTGGTGGTTGTTGTTGTTCGCGTGGTTGTTGCCGTTGTTATGATGGTTGTTGTGATGGTGCTGGCCAACGTTCGCCTCTCGCTTGGCCCGGTCACGAGTGGTACGGACAGTTCCTGAAACAAGAGAACGAGAAACTTAGTATGTTATAGTAGTAAAGATCTTATAAATATAATCATCATTACAACTATTGGGACCTAAATTAAATGCAAATTCTACAGCATTAATATTCCTACTTTAATTAAAAAACTTCTTTGAGTTTCAATAACGTAATGCTTGCCTTAAATACTTAACGTATTTTATTTGTTTAATTATTTAAAAGAAATTGACTTGAAATATGTATTACTCTTTTTAAAATCATCAGTGGAGCTTATACATTTTAATATCTATTATTATTAAATTCAAACTGTGGAAAACATTATACACCCTTTATAAACAACATCTTAACAAAAACTATAGGACAAGTGGATTTTAAAACTGTATCAATAAGAAAAACGAGCAGGCAAAGAAAATGGACCTCATGTACTAATAATTGGAAGGAACTTTTCAAATATCAGTCCTTAACTTAGTATAAATATCAGCTATTTATTAAAGCCACTAACGTACCTTAAATATAGTCAAATATCATTAACTCTAACTGTACAAGGTTATTTATAAGCCCTGATTAATACGAATTTGTAAAAGATTGTCCTTCAAAAATAAGAAAAGGAGTTGGTAAGAATCAGCTTTCTAGAGAAATGATATCTCGAGATTTATATACAAAAAGACAACAAATTTATATTCCCTTTCCAATAATGATTGATTGAGAAAAGAAAATAAGTAAGCCATTGACTTTGACAGCGAATGATTGATTGGGAAAATATTATGATAACGACATGACTGTTCTGAGTGTAAGGTGTATTGTTTTTTTTCAGATTAGCGATTAGTGCATCCTGTATCTCCATCGCCCATCCTCCTGCAGAACTTACCCACGCTCTCGTGATCGTTGCCGCCTTTCGTTTTCAGGCGCTGAAAGTATCGCTCCAAAATGGTGCGATCGATCACATGCAGATAATACGAAACGGGCTTGCAGGTCCAGGAAACGGAGCCCTTGAGTGGCGGAATCTCACTGACGTGCATTATAGTGCCGATGTCGCTAAGGTTTCTGCAAAAATATAGTTAAAATAAGTTAATGTTTAAGTTCGAAGAAATACAAAATACATGTTGTTCAAGGTCGCATTCTGGTTTTCACTTGTTTTATATGCTCAAGTTATTAAAAAAAATTTTTTGAAATTAATTATCTTGAACAAAAACCAGAAGTTAACCTCTTCTTTTAAACTATAACCCACCTGTCCGTAATCCGAAAGTTCAGGGGACAAAACGACTTGGAGGACACTACTCTCGCTCCGTCACGCAGATCCGCGAATCGTTCCTTGAGCTGGTGGTCCACCGTCGGCCCAAAGGCGAAGTTGTTAACAAAAACCAGCGTAGAGGAGGTGATCTTCTCGCGATGCTCATCGACCAGAAAGTCTCCCTTGATCAGCTTGTACTCGCAAAAGCGCTTTCCAAACCAACCCATGTACTGGCGGAATATCACGTCCATCCGCTCCGCATATCGCGCCGGAGTGTCGGCCTTCTCGATGCCAATGCAGGTTTTCAGGGGAAAGGATCCGGCCATCTGGAGGACCACCTGGCCCACTCCCGAGCCGAGATCGATGAACGTGTCCTCCTTGCTGACGGTGACGTGCTTGAGCATCTGCTGCACCAGCTCGTAGCTCGTCTCGCCGTAAACCTCCGGCGAAAAGGGCTCGTACTGGTTGAGTTTATCCGGATCGAGTACGGCAGCATTGTAAACTAATTGCAATATGTGTCTTAGAAGGCTAGGGTGAGCGAACTTGTTCAGGCGCTCGGCGGGCAGTGAAGTTCCTTTTTCCTGCAAAACGAATGAAAATATATTAAAGCCATGAACAAAATGTCTTATAAACAACAATAGAATACATGACAATAAAAATATTACAAGAAATAAAAATTGAAAAAATTTTATCAACTTTATTAATTGCTATTTCCAACAAGATAGTAAATTAGTACTTTCTGATATTTTATCTTGCCTTGTATTACATTTGTTTATAAATAAGGAAACACTCACCAATGCAACGATGCTGTCGACGGCCTTGTTGAAGCGATCGACCAGACCGGTCATAGTCTTATAGCAGGCAGTGTCGATTTGGTGGAGATTGGTCTCCTCGAAGGCGGATGACATCGATGGCAGTTCATCGCAGACGAACTTGATGGTGTCGATGATGTCGATGCCATTGTCGTGCTTGTCCTGTCCGTGTCCGATCTGCAGGGGCCAGGCGAAGGTGATGACTTCGGAGGATCCAGCGGGCGAGCGCAACACCAAGTCCTTGACTTGGGGTGTGGCCATATTTTTCCGCTTTCCTTAGCCACCCTTTTTTATGTTTGTCTATTTTGTTGTGTGTGTGTTTTTGGTGTGCGTGGCAAGGGGCGAGATCGGTTTTGTTTCTTTTTTTTTCGTTTTGTGGGAGTTTGTGGGGGCTCTAAAACAACGTCTGCTTTCTGTTGTTTTAGTTGATTTTGTTTTGAGATTTTTTCTTTTGATGTGGCGTTTATGGGGGTGAGTCTATGATAGATGCTAAACGATTTTATGATCAAAACTTGGCATAGGATTTGTGTGTTTCTGTCGTTTAACTTGTGTGGAGGCGTTTGCGTTTCGGTTTACGGTTTACGGTTATGTCTATGGTCTACTTTTATTGTTAATGGTACTTCTTCTGGTTTTTGTCGATGTCTTAGGAACAGTGGCAGCGTTGGGTTAATGTATTAGGCTAATAGAATAATATTATGCTTCAACTACTCTTGACGTTGCGTTTCGTGGCGTTACGTCGCGTTTGCTCTTAACGTTTCTGTTTCTGCTGCTGCTGCTCTGCTTCCTCCTCTACTTCCGTTGCGACCGCTTCTCTTTCCGGTTCCGGTTCCTCTTCGTCCCACTTCCGCTCTTCCTTCAGCAGCAGCCACAAAATACAAAAGTAACTGATGATAGTTGCGTAGTTTGATATTTTGCTGGATGTTAAGAAAACGATGCATTTTCTTCAGTGTGCGGAAACAACATCTTCCAAATGTTTTCCTTTCTCCCTAAGATTCCTGTTTCGAACTCTTCTTGCTGCTGCTGCTGCTGCTGTAGTTGTTGTTGTGCTTGCTGTTGCATTATTTATTCCCACCGTTCCGTTTCAATTCAGTGCGTTCCGTGGCACGCACTCCTTCCCAAATACCGTTGCGCATATTGCACGCGCCTCGGCCCAGCAGTTTTGGCAAGTGTTTCAGTGGAATTTGCTTTTTTGAAGCTTTTACAACACACACGCCTTTAATATATGTACAGTTTGCAAAGTGTTTTATAGTTTGAGTCTGTAACAAGAAAGAAAAGAAGAGAATGGTAAAACATAAATAGGCGAAACAATCAAAATAAAATGTTCAAACAAAAATGCGGGGTCTAAAACTTGATGATTTTTGTGGTTGGCGATTATTGAAAATGTTTTATGGTTTTCCTTGTTAAGAGATGATATAAGACAAGTCTAACTTTCAAATAAATACGCTAATTTAGATTAAGGTTATAGCTAAGTTATTTAGGTCTATAACTTAGGATTCCAAAATTTTTAAATGCCAAATAAATACATTATTAATTTCCTTATAGTGTGTTCACTGGTTTTGTTATAAAATTTTATACTGACATTTCCATGAACCTACTTTTTCTTTTAAAACAAATCTCTTATATTATTGTTTTTTAACCTGCAGAGGACCAAAATTTGCATCATAATTTCACCAGGAGATATAATATAAACTCTTTGAATTTCAAATATAACTGCAATTTATTCCCGTGTTTGGAATGCCACTGTGACATTTCATCATTGATATGCAACACCTCTTTTTATATGGGCTGTGCTGCTTATTATTTGAGTTTGGGGTGGCTTTCGTTATATTTGTTTATTATGCTAATTAGTCATGCCAGGCACGTTTCTGGGCTTTTTTAATACACTTTTTTCACTTTGTGTTTTATGTGATGCCATTCATTTTTTGCTTCTTCTATTTTTGGTGGGCGTAGACGACGCAAGTCAGCGACAATGTGACTTCATTAGCATAAACAGCGTTGACGACAGCTTTCCTCGTGGGAAGTCAAGGGGTCGGGAAAATGCCAGCCAAGGAAAATCAATAACAACCCCCAGGCCGGAGGTTCAAGTTAAAGAATGAATTAAAACGTCCGTCACTTGGGTATTTTCTAATTAAAGCCAGAGCTAAAGCCAGCGCCATGGGCATTTAAAATCACCGTTGAAAAGGCTTAGTTGCAGCTTAAAGCTTCAATGAACCCAAATAGAGAGGGAAATATCCAGTCTAGCGTTAACATTTTTGGCTAGACAAGCGCCACATTAAATTGAATGGGCTTTTGGCCTGCACACACACACACTCACACACACTGAAACCAGATATAAAGCTAAAGGTACATATGTATGTATATTCTAGCTCCGTCTGGCAACTGCAAACAAAATTGCAGTACATTATATGAACAAGTGCCGTTATGTGGCGTTCGCATCGTTGTTGTTTATGCATGCACGTGTGCGCATCCAACCAACCTCCCAGCTTCGAAATATGTATCTATACCCGTATGCGTGTGTATCCGCATCTATATACTTGCAACCATGACAGCCCCAACAGACATCCAGACAAAAGCTCCATGTGGCATCTGTCTCCCCCCGTTCATCCACCCCTTTGGCCAATGGCTCCATCGAAAACCATACATATGTATGTATATCGCCCACAGGTCGCCCATTTCGCCGGTCAAGCTGACAAACAGCACAAAAGCTATAAACAACGATTGCGGCGCAGAGACAACGACGTCAACAATTTATTGTTAATCAATAGTGGGCAATGAATTTTTTTCAGTATTTAAGCACCATCGGTCTCTTGCAGTTTAAGAGGAATGTGCGTGTGGCAATGAAAAGCTGGTGAGAACATGTCTGGTATGCAATCACAGCAGGGAGAGGAGAAAGTGATAAGGGCAGCGGGACATTTTAAAGTGCTTACCAAAAATACCTATTATTAGACTAATTTATTAGGAATGTTGTAATTTGCTGCTAAGCATTACAAAAAATTAGAAGAAAAATTGATTGTTGTTGATGTTAATTTAAAACATAAACAAATTTTAGGGGTAGTCACATTTTTGTCTCTTCCTTTTCCAATGATATTTTCATAAGTACCCCACTGCTTAATTTGAAAGACATTTTTGGTTAAGAAGGCTAAACTCTGATGGCCAAAAAAAACAAGTCCATTTAACAGACATTGAACTTCTCTTCTGACGCCATACGCACACGTTTCCAATTGCTGGCTATAACCGTATATTGCGGCTGCCAGCCAAAAATGAGAAAGCCAAATACATTTCCATTAGATACGCCCAGACAACCGACAACCAAGGTTCCCATTCTAAGGTCTATATCATCCTTTTGAGCGGTTGGCTGCTGTCTAGCCGCCAAAGAGGGATATATTTGTACATATTCTTACGAAATCCAATTGATTTTGCCAGACTCAAAATTAATGGAGGGCAGGGATATTTGTATCTACATTTAAGTTGGATCAAAATACGAAAGTGAGCGACTTTTTTTTAGGGATATTATTGACGGACTATAAAACATAGCACACACTATTTTGTAACAGATACTCAGTTTTAATTAGACGGAACAAAAATAGCACAGCTATCGGAGGCTTGACACACATTTTGCGCATATAGTATACAGAAACGCATACAGAGAAAAATTGACACAATTATGGCCCACATGGAAAACAGGTGAAGGGGGCTGTAAGGTTCAGATACCGGCACATCGCGATTTTAATCAACTTAAAACGAACATACACTTTCAACTCATTCCGCAATAACAAAATATGCCACATAACAACCAAATAGATTTAAATTACTCTTAAAACAATCTTAAAGGACAAAACTTTAATTAGATATCCATTTAAACTGAGTTTTTTCTAACAGTAAAATATATTAACATATAAAATAGCTACCGTCAAAATAGATATTTTATCAACACATTTCTTTCCGTGTAGAAACAGACAACGCCCACGCTATTATTATTATTATTCTTTTCTCTTTTTTGCAATATTATTTGCGTGTGCTGTTTTCTGAGTTTGCCTTTTCTTTTTTGTTTTATTACGCTGCCTGCCACGCTGTCTGCCTCGGTTTTAGCTCGCCCGTCTCGTTTTCTGTGTTTGCTGATATCCCAAACTAAAATAATAAAAACAAATTGCCTATAAAGTGTGAGCTATGTACCACAGTTCTGAACATAAACTTTTTTAGTGTGAGAGGGAGATAGGGTGACTAGTTTTTTATCAAGGCGGTTGTGTGTCAAGGTCAGCAATTAAAAAATTAGTCAAATACTTCTGCAGCTATATTTCTCTGTGATTTAGTCATTGAACAATTTATTTAACATTTATTTTCGACGTACAACAAAGGAATATATTCCGACTATTATTTTTTGGGTAATTTGATTTACACTTGTTGTAGAATCTATTTGGTTTGCTCGAATGGTCACGTGCTGTAATTATTGTTGCTGTTCGAAGGTCAAATTAGTTTACGCTTTGATTTCTCGTTAATTATTGCTGTAGCGCAACACAAAACATTGAGTTTTTAAGTTATATACACTTTTGTTTTTGTTTGTTTATGGGAACGCTAATTTGTATTGCTTGGCAACTAAGGCATGTGATTGCGAATGACTTTACAACACTACTTAGTTTCAACACTTTTTGTTACATTAATACTTATATTTTTCTTAGGATCAAAGTCTTACTTCTTGTTTTTCAACTGCATTGAGGTCACCCACTATCAATTCATATTTGTACGTAGTTTCGTATTGAATGTAATCATTCTTCAAGGAAAAAAAAACAAGCTTTAGTTTTTTTTTTTTTATTATTATTTTCTATAGATAAGAATTTTCTATGTGAAATATATTGTAGGAAAGCGCAACCTGTTGGCATGTCAAGCCCAATCAAATGTTTGTTCTTTGTCCATAGGCAAACAACGAAAACACTGATAAGATACGAAATTATTTGACCCACTTACAAATGCTTTTTATGAACGAACAAAATAAATACAAAAGAAATAAGCCCATGTGACATTAACCACAATAAGGGACGACGTAGCATATTTCTTTTCGTGAATTACAAACCAGGCTGCAAGTCAAACACCTGCCAGGAAGAGCGAATAAAGGAAATAAATAAAATATCGGCAGTACTTTAGTACGTGCCAGGGGGAATTCCCCTCTTATTTTTTGTATCTCCCCTTTTGAGATCCGTTTGGAAGGTCATCAATCGCATTGCTTATGTATAATGTCTTGCCCTGCGGTTTTTTAAAGAAACATCTGCGTCTGAAAGAGGGGAAGTTCAGAGCTTTTGACATGAAACGAGGTACCAACATATGCAAGATATTTACGGAGACATTTGCCATGATCGCTGGCTTGGTAGCAAGCTTTTATTGGTATTCAAATTGATTTCCTTCGGTTTGAATAGATATAAATCTATTAAAATTTATGGCCAAACCAATTATGAAAAAAACCGCTGTCCATGGATAGAAAAATAAAGAGACCTAAAGAATTTAAAACAATTTAATAAACTAAGTATTTATATTATACGTAGTATTTCTACCTGCGTATTCTTACTAGTTAGTTAAACAGCAGAAGAAGGGTTTTCCAACATACAAATATTTTACATTTTTGTTAACCACATGTCTCTTTATTTTCTTAATTCAGATGTTTCCAGCAAATAATACCAAGTCAAGAACCTTTAAATTTTTCTGATCGCCCTGTTGCCAAACTTCAGTAAAACAGACACCATTAACGCATTTTGGAGCTGCCACACCCAGAACTTGAAATGCACAAGGAATCACCAAGAGACCTAAAATAAAAAGAGGAAACAACGGCGACCCCACCCACAAAAGTTGTTTGCTTTTGCTGCCAGCAAAGGTGAACAAAAGTTCAAAAGAAGAGCACAAATTAGACAAGAGCTCTGAGGGTAATCGATTTTAAATTACCATAAAGCTCTTGCCAAAGAAATACTTTGCACTTCAAAGCAAAAGAACAGAGAGGAAACCTTAATGGATTTTCGTCTTTAAATGGTTTTAAAACTGAGAGTCGAAATTTAAAAGATGCTGGTGTTAAAAACGAACTCGATTCAAAGTTACTTAAAGTCCACCAAGTTCCCAAGTTAATCATTGAACGTCCAGAGGATGTAAAAAAATCCAAAAGCCAAACAACAATTACCTTTTGCTTCAAATTAAATTTGAATTAAATTTGTTTTGTTATAAAAATCCGATTTAAGTTTTGTGTTAAAAACTGCAAAGTTTAAATATTACCCCCAGT